AAAAAAAAAAAAAAAAAAAATTTTATTTATTATGTATACAGTGTTCCGCCTACACATATGCCTATAGGCCAGAAGAGGGCACCAGATCTCACTACAGATGGTTGTGAGCCACCATGTGGTTGCTGGAAATTGAACTCAGGACCTCTGGAAGAGCACCCAGTGCTCTTAACCTCTGAGCCATCTCTCCAGCCCGCTTTCTGGTACCTTTAAAAGCTATCACTGCAGGTGTCATACATCCATATTTCCCAAATATGTATTTCTTATCCTGACCTCTATTCTGAACTCATACCAGGATCTCAGCTTATGTCACCCACATATAGAATGGGTCTTCTCTCCTCAGTTAAATCTCTTGAAATACTCTCACAGGTACATTCTAAATCCCACCAAACTGACCATCAAAATTAACCATCACATGATTACAGTCCAAAATACCCATCGTAAGTTGAAACAATCATGTCAAATGCATTTAATCCACCTAACCTTCCTACTATCATCATTTAGCAATGCTGTATATTGCAGAGTATCAGCTGTTTAGCTTTGTGATTGCACAGTCAGCTGTGAGCTATGGCTCACCCCACTGCTCAGCATCACAAGAAAGTATCATACAATATACTGCTGGGGGAAAGTCAAAATGTAAAATTCAAAGTCCAGGTTCTCCTGAATGTGTATCACCTTCGCATGAAGAACTGTATGTCAGGACCACCTATAACTGTAAGCCTCGTTTTATGCACAATAAAAACACCAAAAAGTGAAAATGAAAGCAAATCAACATTTGACAGTATGCCTCCAGCAAACTATGAGTAGAGGAAACCTATAGAATGGACAGTAAGCAGAGGAAAATACAACAGTGCCTCCTTGTCTGAAGGAGGTTCCTTAGTTTCATCGCTGTCTCAGTGACCCACTGTCAAATCAAAGTTATGTTAACTAGGGAAATTGATGAATGTGCAGAGTCATCCACAGAGCAAAAGGAAAGTGAAAAAGAAGAAACTGAGCTGAATGTGTTAGCGCCAGGTATGCTGGGAAGAGCCAGGGAAAAAAGGGGTTGAACACTAGCTGTACCATTAGATATCCACTGAGAATCCTGGAAAACATCTCCAGCAAATAAGTGGAGAGAGCTGCAATCTCAAGAGGAAGCTGAGATGTACAAAGCCATAAACATCAAAGCAAGTTGGAATTATGAATATAAATCTTTGCAAACACCGAATGAAATAGCAGTAGTATCAAGTGGGATTTAAAAAAAAAAACAGTAACAATATCATGCTTCAGGAAGAAGTAAATGGGGATACTATCCAGAAAAGATATTAAGATATTAAGGCTAGACTCCTGTAAGTTACTATAATTACATAATTTCTACTAATCAAAAAATAGTAGAAGTGTGAAATTTGCAAATTAGTAGAGGGGGGAAATATAATGATGAAATCAATAAAATGAAAAGTCAATTAAAAGAAACAGGACAATGGGAAATAAATAGAAAGTAAAAAGGAGATTTGAAATCAAATATACTCATAACAATGTTAAATGTCATAGATTAGTATTTCAATTAAAATATAAAGACTATCTGATTAATAATTTCTATTTGTCCCAATATGTCACAAAAAAAAGCAATCTTCTAAAATATAAGGACAAGAAGATTGAAAGTAAAACAAAGAAAATATGACAGACATATACTAATTAAAAGAAAGCTGTGGGAACTGGAGAGATGGTTCTGTGGTTAAGAGCATGCGCTGTTCTTGCAGAGGACCATGGTTCAGTTCCTAGCACCCATGTAGTGGATAACGACAACCTGTTAACTCCAGTTCCAGAAGATCTGACAGCCTCTTCTGACCTCAACAGGCCCCAGCTGTGCACATGCTGCACATACATGCATGCAGATAAAACACTCACAAAATATAAGTTTTTAAAGATCTTAAATGAAAACATGTTCATAGTTGAGCAGTGGTGGCACATGCCTTTAACACCAGCACTTGAGAGGCAGAGACAGGTGGATCTCTGAGTTCAAGGTCAGCCTGGTCTACAGAGTTCCAGGATAGGGCTATAGAGAGAAACCCTGTCTTGAGCCCCCCCACCACTACCCCCCAAAAAACCTTAAAAGAGAAATCTGGTAGTATAGCAACTGTATCAATGTGGGATAAATTCTACTTTTAAGACATTTCTAAGCAGATCTGGTGGTGCAGTTCTGTAATCCCAAATACCTGAGAGGCTGAGATGGGGCATCAGAAATCAAGACTTACTTTGGCTACAGAGTGATTCAAGGCCAGCTCTCATAAGTTAGTAAGACCCTATCTCATAATAAAAAAGTAAGAGAAAAGGGACGGAGTTATAACTCAATAGTAGAGCATACGCCCAACATGTGAAAGACCCCAGTTCAATCCTCAATACTGGAATAAAAAGGTATTATTAGAGAAAAGATGGCCACTTTATATCGGTACAAAAAGTTCATTGTGTGAGGAACAAATGCTATGGTAAAAGCTGGTCACACCTAAAGCTGGCCGTAGTAACATAAACCTGAATTCTCAGTACTTAGGAGGCTCAGGCAGGAGGATTCTAAGTTAAAGGCTGGTCCAGGGTACTCAGCAAGACCTTGTCAAAGAGCAGAAACAACAACAAAATTCTGTATGCACCTAATAAGACAGTTTTGTTTTTTGTTTGTTTTTCTTTGCTGAGGATAGAACTCAGGGCATTGAAGATATCAGTCAAGGGCTCTATGCTCAGATATATCTCCAGGCCAAGATAGTCTCAAAATATATAAAATAGCTAGGCATGGTGGCATAGGTCGTTAATCCTAGCATTCATGAAGCAGGTAGAACTCTGTGAGTTCGAGGCCAGCCTGATCTACATAGTGAGTTCCAGGTCAGCCAAGGCTACATAGGGAGACCTTGTTTTAAAACAAACACATATATGTGTTATGTGTGTGTGTGTGTGTGTGTGTGTGTGTGTGTGTGTGTGTGTGTATCTTTGTTTAATATACGTTTAACATATATTAAAGCTGTCAAAACTAAAAGAGAATATAAACAAATCTATGATGATATTACTATAATATTCAAAGATATCAACATGTCCAGTAATTGACAAAATAAGCAGTCAGAATATCAATAAGGATACTAAGGTCTGAACAACAGCATTAACAAAATTGATCCCTTGATAGAAAACTGTACCTCACAACTACAGCATACCTTCTGTCAAGTACATAAAACACTAAAAATAAGTTCTCACTGGGTGGTGGTGGCGCACACCTTTAATCCCAGCACTCAGGAGGCAGAGCCAGGCAGATCTCTGTGAGTTCGAGGCCAGCCTGGTCTACAAAGCAAGTTCCAGAACAGCCAGAACTGTTACACAGAAAAACCCTGTTTCGAAAAACAAACAAACAAAAAAATCTCTTAAGTCAAGCATGGTAGCTCATCTGTAATCCTAGGACTCATGAGGCAAGAGGATTACTGCGAGCTCAATGCCAGCCTGGGCAGTAAGTATAAGACCCTGCCTGCTGCCCCCCCCCCAAAAAAAACATAAAATAAACTAATTAATTGACTCTACACTTAAGCCTTAAAGCAAATTTCAACCAATTTCAAAGTAGTGAAATCTTATAGAATGTCCCCTACAAACTAGAGTCAATAACTAAATTCTTATATATATTTTGAAATTAAGACACATGTTGAAAATAGAAATTAGAAAATATTTTAAATGGATTATGTTTTCCAGCAAGCTTCAGTCAGTCTGTCTGCCAGTGGGACCAACTCCACAGCCACAGAAAAGCATGCCAAAAAACCTCATTTTTAAGCCAACTTCTCCTGACAACAAATAACTTCTGCAGACAGACAAAGAGATGCAGAAGGGAAAAAATAAGGAGACTGGACGAGGCTCTAAAGCAGAGTTCTCAACCTGTGGGTTGCGACCCCTTTGGGAGTCACATAGCAGATATCCTGCATACCAGATATTTATGTTACAATTCAAAACAGTAGCAAAATTATAGTATGAAGCGGTAATGAAAATAGTTTTATGGTGGGGGTCACCACCACATGAGGAGCTGTATTAAAGGGTTGCAACAGCAGGAAGGTTGAGAAAGGCAGAAAATGGTCTGAAACCAGGTAGGAAACAGAAGAAGGCAGTGTTCCAAAGGCTGGCTGCGCTGTTGGGCATGGCTCATGCTTTTAATCCCAGAACTCGGAAAGCTGAGGCAGGAGAACCAGCCTGAGCAACAGACTTTGCCTCCAAGAGAGGTTCACTGCGAAGCCACTTTCTACTACACCGGTACTTTTAACACTACTCTTGCCCTTAAAACAGTCTTGTTATCCCAAACCACTCTTCAGTAAAATCTTTGGAAGTCAAAGAAGAAAGAAAATATTTTAAACATAATACAAATTACAAATGCTTGTAATTTCAGCACTCAGGAGGCCCAGACAAAGGGATCAGAAGCTCCAGGGTAGCGAGCTATGCAGTGAAAGCCAGTCCCAAAGGCAAAAACACACGAATAAAATGAAAGTTAAGGGGTGTAATTAAGTAATACTTGGAGGAAAACTGAAAAGCCTCAAATACTGTTTCACAAAAGCAGAGAGCTAAAAATGAATGACCTGAGTGCTATTTTAAAAAGACAAAAGAAGCAAAAAGCTCCCACTCCCATAATCCAAAAATCAAAAAATTAAAAGGCCTTATGAAATAAAACAAAAACAAACAATCAAACAAAAGCCTGGGCAAAATGAGAGGGAAGGTGGGAAGAGAGAATAGGAGTGGGGTAAATCCTTCAAACAGGATCTTTATGACCATTTTGTTCCAAAATTTGAAAATTCAAAAGAGATGGACAAATTCCTAGAAATACTCATGATTCAAAAAGAATGTAGAAAACCTAACTGATCCTAAGAAAATGATGTAAGTTGCATATGGAATATGTAGATAGTGTTTGCATCCCAATCAAAATTAAATTCACCGGAAAAACATCAAAACTGAAATATTAATTAAATATATATTAATGAGCTGCATTATTTTTAGAGGTATATTAGTTAATATTGATAATATTTATATTATATCTATTTCTAGATAAAGTATTTGAAAGTGAAATATTATTTCAAGATTTGCATCTAAATAATCTTGGTTAGTCCTAGCACTTGGGAGGCAGGAGAATTTCAAGTCCAAGTCTGGGCTACACAGTGAGGCCTCATCTCAAATATGAGAAAAAAACACCTGTGAGGAGGAAGATGAAGAGGAGGAAGGGGAAGACGGAGAAAGGAAAAGTATATAGTTGAAATTAGATTGAAAACTGATAAAGATAAAAGTCAGAGGTGCAGGAGAGATCTCTATACTTGGGGTTGAATATTTAAAGAACTAAATCCGCAGTCATCACGGCCTCTCTTAGCTCTCACCTCATCCCTCACTGCTGCTTCCTCTCACGGGTGCTGCGGGCTCACTGGAGCGCTCCAAGCCCATTTCTACTTCCAGAGACTTCCAGTGATTATTTTCTCTGCTTAGCATGCTCTTTTTTGACATGGCTAGCTCCCCTGTTTCGTTAGAGGTCTCTTGGCTTTGTAGTTCAGTTTCTTATCAGAACGCTTTTCTCTGAATGCTATGAAATCACACATGACTGCGCTTCACCCTCCAGTTCGACTGGCAATGTAACCTTCCTGAGGAGTGTGTGTTCGGCTCACTCCTCACTGCGGCATCTGAAAGTGACGGGCTCACTGTAGCTAACTCATATGTGAAATGAATGCATTGGTGTTGAGTAAAACCAATAAAATCAATGAAAGAGCACTTGAAGGAAGCCAAATATTTCAGAACTGTGTGCTCCCCAAGTGTGATGAGATGGCTCAGCAGGTAAGAAACCTGACAACCTGAGTTTGGGCCCTGGAATTCACAAAGTGATGAGGGAGACCTTCTTCAAGTTACCATTTAACCTCCACAAACGACACGCATACTGTGACACACACACACACACACACACACACACACACACACACAGGGGTGGGTATTGTAAATTTTTGTGATTTACTGTGTATCTGTTTCCGACTTGTGCCTCATCTCCACGATTTCCACCATGAAGAGATCAATAGGGAGACCTGGTCTTCTAACAGCCAGGACAGAATCCACCACAGCCTGAAAGAGAAGCATGGGGGTGGGGGAAGGGCATATTACCCAGACTGAAAGAAACTCCTGGTCCAAGTGACCTACCACCAGACCAACCAGGGAAAGGGCTTCAGGCTTCAAAGCCAAAGGCATGGCCACCATGTGCCACACTTGGCACATTTGCGTTTCTTAAGGCAGATTAATAGCAGAGTGTTCTGTTTCACAGGGCAGTGCCTCATGAATTTGGTTATTGCAAATTTCTCATTCCTGATTTCAAGAAACAGCAAAGCTGAGGAACAGCAATATAATCAAATGATAAGCACCAGATACAAAGTCTTCCAGAACGGCCCAGGCAGTTTTGTCTTTACATTGCATATAGTTTACCTTTAGCAGTCAATCAAATAAACATGAGACTCTTATATATCAGCTCAGTCTTGCCGCATTAAAGTGACAACCCTAACTACAAGGCAACTGCCAAAACAGCCTGCTCATGTGTCACCTGATGTACTCAAGTATGGACCTTTAGGTTCAGCTGAATATACTGTCCAAGAGCTTCCACAAGAGATAAGCCACAGGAAGTCAAGCCTCTCCCAACTTTCAAGTCATGTAAGCAGTAATGAGACACCTTAGGAAAATTAGTGCTGTGATCAATTGAATTTTAAACGCTTGCCTTCTTCTTTTATATTTCTGAAAAGTCATGTGCAATATTTGGTTGTCTTATAGAAAAGCAGAAGACTATCACCACATGTCTGGCCATCCTTGCTAGACAATAGTGGATCATATACCTCTGTTAACACGTCAGCCAGTTCCGCATGAACTTTGGTTCGCAGGGATGTTCTAGCCACATCTAAGAGGATTTCTCTTTTCATCTCCTTTTCCACTTTAATTTCATCCAAAACTTCAAGTGCTTTCGTCTTTGCAGCATCAAATCCTTCAGCTATGATTCTAGGGTGCAGGCCCTGGTATAACAACATAAATACACAAATTACACAGCAACCGTGCAAAGTAAAAGGCAGCTATGCTCTCTTTAATAAGTATGTGACTCACAGTGATGGCACTAATGTAAGTATGTATCATTCATAAATTATTTCTCAGGCTTCATATCTGAAACAATATTTTAAAATGTATATGAGTGTTTAAAATGTATATGACTCACACAACTTAAAAGTAACAATGTCAACCAGGTGTGGTGGCGCACACCTTTAGTCCCAGAACTTGGGAGGCAAAGGCAGATAGACCTCTGTGAGTTCAAGGCCAGCCTGATCTACATAGTGAGTTCTGGGACAGCCATGGCTATGTAGAGAGACCCTGTCTCAAAAAAAAAAAAAAAAAAAGTAGCAATGTCAGGATTGAAAAGATGTCTCAGGAGTTAAGAGCACTTATTGCTCTTACAGCCAACCTGGATTCAGTTCCCAGAGCCTACATGGTGGCCCACAATCATCCATAATTCCAGTTCCAGGGGACATAATGTCCTCTTCTGAATTTCAAGGGCACCAGGCACACATATGGTTGACATACATATATGCAGGCAAAACATGCATATCCATAAAATAAAAATAAATAAGCCTAAAGCATTGTTAAGTAGCAATTCCAGGCCAGCAAGATGGCTCAGGAGGTAAAGGTGCTCACGACCAAGACGGACAACCTGAGTTTGCTCCCAGGACCCACATACCAAAAGGAAAGAACTGACTCTCACAGGTTGACCTCTGACCTCCACATACAACTAATAAGAGTAATTTTTTAAAGTAGCAATGCCATGAACTATAAAAGATGCTTCAGGAACTATTTCAGCCTAAAGAAAATTAAAGGGACATGACAACTAAACACAATGCATTATCCTAGAGTTTCCTTTTTCTGTGAAAGACACTCTTATGACAAGCAATGAAATTTGAAAGAAATCTGAAGACTAGATAATAGTATACTCTGTGAGCTGTTGATGTGAAGACTAATTTCCTCTTTTATATACATATTTTGTGACTATATATGAGAATTCAGTGGTGCTAAAAATTATACACTAAGTGCTGGGAGGACATGGCTGTAATGCCAGCCCTTGGGAGACTGGGGCAAGAAGGTGGTGAGTTAGAAGTCACTTCCATCTACACAACAAGTTTGGGACCAGACTGAGCTACATGGTGAAACCTGTCTCAAAACAGAAACAAACAAACAAACAAACAAAACACAAAGAAAAAAGTCACGCTGAAATTAGGACACGTTTGCAACTTACTCTCACCCACTCAGAAAACATTTAAATGCCTAATATTAATTACATGTCTCACGGAAAACATAGCAGAGGTACAATAATGCTTTTAGAACCCTGGATAAATGCTATATGCTGATTCTTTGCAATATTCTTGCAACTTTTCTGTGAGTCTAAAATTCTGACCAAAATCAATTTTTCTGAGAGAGTGTCTCATCATGAGCCCAAGCTGCCCTCAAACTTGCAATCTCCCCACTTCAGCCTCTTGAGTCCTAGAATTACAGGCATGTACCACCACACCTGGCTCACAAAATTGAAAGGTTTTCAAGTACTGTTGAGACTGAGGATATAGTGTATAAAGCAATTGCCTAGGATGAAAAAAGTCCTTGGTCTTTGAAATAGTCATCAAAAGAACTAGTAGTATTATTTATTCTCTTTTTTGGTGTGTTTGTATATATTTTCTATCTTTTATGTATGGTGTGTGGATGCTGGTGAATGTACATGCCACAGCATGAGTGTGAAGGTCAGAAGGTAACTTTGGAACCTTAGGTGTTGGTCCTTGCCTTCCACCTTGCTTGAGGCGGGGTCTCTTTTATTGCCATACTTTCCAGGCTTGCTGGCCTACAAGTTTCAGGGCTTTGCCCCATCTCCCGCAGGAACACCGGGGTTACAGACACATGTTGTCATGCTCAGTTTGACAAGGGTCTGAGGATTCAAACTCAGGTCCTCACACTGGAATAGCAAGCACTTGACCCACAGAGCCATCTCCCCACTCCCCAGGACTGTTTACTTTGCAAAATAATACACAGACATTGGGAAAGCATGAACCACATGAAAGGCATAAACCACAGTTATTCACTTCATTTCTTTGTGTTACTCCTATAATACTTAAAAGGTGACACTGAGCATTTGCGCTGGGCATAATTCTAAGGGCTCTATGTGAATTATCTCATTTGATCCTCTCAACAACAGTATAAAGTGGGTCCTATTATTGCTCTACACAGATAATGTAATTTGTCTTACATCAGCAAGCAGTTCAGAAATGGAGCCAAGATTTAAATCTGTAAGACCCGACATGGAGCCAAGATTTAAATCTGTAAGACCTGACACTCTAATCCAACCTGCTCTATTATCATTTGTAAAAATTTCCTCAATCTAGGTCTTCATAATTACTCATCTGGACTACTAGGAGAACCTTGATTGTTGATTCCTTAGAATTGTCCCCATATATTGAAAATGCCAATCTGTCCACAGCAGTCATTAATATGCTACTGTTTGGTCTGCTCACTACAACAGTGCTCCTTACCCTCCAAGATTGCCTTCCACTTTCTTCCCCAACCTTTTCACTCTCACACACATCCCCTCAAACTCCAGTAACACCAACTGCTTGTAGCTCTGTACCAATTCGAGGGTGGAGCTTTGGTTTGGAACACCATGTGCCTCATGTTCTATCCTGAAGACTCTGTGTTCAAGATCCTCACCTGGATGTTTCCTGGCTACTGCAGGCTAATTTAGCATCTCCATGTGTCCCTGGTGTTTCTTTCATAGCCTGTGCCTCACTTTATTAATGTTCAGATATACACTATGGATCTGGCAACATCTCACCACTGACACTCCCCTTTCTTCCTCACCTAACCCTGATTTTCAGAAGATGTCCATCTTTCACCTGTGCTTCAGGGGAATCTTAACCCCAGCTCAAGCAGTGGGGTCTACATCAGCCTAATCAATTCTCCTGACAGTGGTTATCAGTTTAAGAAAAGCATAAGACTAAGGTTGGCCCAAGGAAGGATTCCTATGCTATAGTTGGAGGAATGTCTTCATGTCTACCTCTCCTGCTGAGTCTCACCAAGGGAAATAAGTAGCCCTGATTTCCTCTGATGGTCTGACCTTCAAGATCCAGCTTAGAATGAAGCGTATTATATGCAGAAGAGCTTAGAGACCAAAAGGACCTGGGTACTTGATAGCTCATTGAACTTTTAAATTTACCAGTCACAGACCCTACCTTATCCCTCACTGCTCTCTTGTATGAGATGGTGATTTCTGCATAGTTTTAGTCAAGTTTCCGCTGTTTAAGCCCAAATCATTCTAAATGAGGTAAGTTACAGACACTGAATGGATAATTCCCAATACTAAATGGAACACAAAGAATCTCCACTTTGACCAGGTTAGGCTTCGCTGAGATAGTCTCTGAATGAGAGGGAATACTCAGATAATTCTATAAAAGACATGCAATGTTGAGAAAAGAATACGACTGAACAAAGGCACAGACATAGAAATGCGAATGATGATTCCATAGGCTAAGGAAAGAGGAGTCCAGCTAGGTGGTTTATAAAGAAAAGAGGAATTAGAAAATTAAACACATGCACAAGGTGAAAAGCCTTCAGTAATTTCTCCCCAGTTAATTTTAAAAGAACATAATTTTGTTTCAACTTTTATTAGTTAAATTTTTTGTAAGTATGAATCATGGGTATATGTGGGTTTTTTAACCTTTCTATACATCTTTAACTATTTTATATTTTTAAAAATATATAACTGCAATAAAAGCCATTAGTTTGGCAGAAAATAAAAATCAGTTTCCACTCACAATTGCCTAAGATTATCTTAATTGTAATTAGTTCTTATTCTCTAAAATTGAACTTTAAAAAAACTTCCTTTGAAATAGTGTGAAATTTTAATACCTCAGAAATGTAAAGATCAGCTTGTTTGAGCAATTCCCCAATGATCAGGACATTCGAGGTGGTGCCGTCTCCTGTGATGTGGTCCTGGGCTGCTGCCACTTTTGCTATGATGGAAGCTGTTGGGTGTTGAATTTGCTGGAAAAGGTAAACACCAGATTGAAAAAGACAGAGACTGTGATAAAGAAGGCCACTACACTGAAGATAACCCAAGGGTCAATAGTAAAATTAAGAAACAAACTTTATGCTGCACATTTACAGGTTTTACATTATCAATATTTGGTAAATGTCAAATTCAAAATTTTAAAGTTGAGAATTAATGAGGTTTGAACATTTTATGAAAGTCTTTGCTTCAAAACGCAATGACATTTCCAAGAAGAGATTAAGCCCTTCAATCTCAAAGATGAATACATTTATGAAAATGGCAAAGGACTTTTCTTTTTCCATGATTACAAAGACTACAATGAAGTGCTCCAAAAATATTAATTTGTAAGTATTCCTAAGCTATTAGACTCTATAAACATTTGAAAATAGCCAAAATTCAGTTTGTTGATGTTTAAACCAACAACCATATCTCAAGACTGTCGTTTTTTAGCTGATAGCCTTATCTATTTGTTTGTTATCTGTTTGTTTGTTTTGTTTTTTTTTTTGTTTTGTTTTTTTTTTTTTTCCGAGAGAGGGTTTCTCTGTGTAGCTTTGACGCCTTTCCTGGAACTCACTTTGTAGCCCAGGCTGGCCTCAGACTCATAGACATGTGCCAGCACCACCCAGCGTTGATAGCCTTATCTTAAAAATACAAATTGTGATGCCAGACAGCAGTAATACATGCCTTTAATCCCAGCCCTTGGGAGGCAGAGGCAGGTGAATCTCTGTGAGTTTGAGGCCAGCCTGGTCTACAGAGTGAGTTCCATGACAGCCAGAGCTACACAGAGGAATCCTATCTCAACCTCCGCCCCCCCCCAAAAAAATGGCTAGAGAGATAGTCAGCCATTAAGAGTATGTTCTATTCTTCCAGAAAAGTGGAGTTTGGTTCCCACCACCTATTAACAGGTGACTTACAATTGCCTTAAGTCCAGCTCCAGGGGATCTGACACCCTTCTCTGGCCTCTGCAGGCACCAGCATGCATGTGACATACACTCATACAGATAGACACTTGGGGCTGGAGAGATGGCTCAGTGGTTAAGAGCACTGGCTGCTCTTTGAGAGGTCCAGATTTCAATTCCCAGCAACCACATGGTAGCTCACAGATAGACACTCATACACATAAAATTTAAAAAGCAATAAATCTTTAAAAATGCAAATTATAAGATTGAAGCTATCCCTTAGTGGTAAAGAGCACTTGCCTAGCATATGCTCAATCCCTAGTGTTGCAAAAGTTATTTCTTAAAATTTTTTTTTCAAGACAAGGTTTTCTGTGTAGTCCTGGCTGTCCTGGAATTCACTCTATTGACCAGGCTGACCTCAAACGCAGAGATCCACCTGGCTCTGCCTCCTGAGTGCTGGGATTAAAGGTGTGCACCACCAAGCCTGGCTAAAATATTTTTTCTTTCATTTCATGTGCATTGATGTTTTCCTACATGTATGTCTGTATGAGGGTATCAGATCCCCTGGAACTGGAGGTACACAATTGTGAGCTGCCATGTGGGTTCTGAGAATTGAAGCTGGGTCCTCTGGAACAGCCAGTGCTCTTAACCACTGAGCCATCTCTCCAGCCCACAAAAATATCTTTAAATAAATAAACTTGCATATGATAAACAAAGCATACCCTTTCCCCACAGTGTTGAATCTAGAATCTTGCATGTGCTAGGGAAGTGCTCTACCACTGAGCTGCATACTCAACTTGTGTGCCATTTGTTAAATTAAGGCTTATTAAAGCCAGCAGCAGCTGGGCATTGTATTGAATGCCTAAATCCAACAGCCAGGAGGCTGAGGCAGGATGATGAGTTTGTGTCCAGCCATATTCTGTCTGAGAATATTCTGTCTCAGAAAAGAAATTGAAGAAGAGCATTAGCTCACCATCTCATGAAGCAGTACATTGCCGTCTTTTGTGAGTTTGATGTCACCTGCCCCAGAAACAAGCCTGTTCAAAGAACAATGGTACTTATTAACTCCACAATTCAAGAATCAAAAAGCACTCACTCCCACTTCTTGCCATCCACTGTTCTAAACACAGATGATTGATCTTGGAAATTATCCATCGAATGAGGTGATACTGTGGTAATGACTGACACTTGCATCTCATAGATTTCTCCCAGGTGACCTTCTAGTGATTTCATTCCAAATGGAACATTTATGGTCTTACAGAGTAGCTGATGGGTTATAAACATTGGCTAATGAAAAGTATAAAACAAAGAACAAATCTGCAAATTTCCTGTAGGTTCTTTATTTTGGTAAATGTCATAATTCAGTCACTGAATTTAGTTGCCTCATTCCTGCATTTATTAAATGCACCAAGCTCTGTCAATTCTACAATTTAAATACCTTTAAATCTTCACCTCTTCTCTCCAATTTTATTATCATTTCTAGACTGCTTAGACAGCCATCTTGTCTCCAAATTTGAATCAACTCTCTGCACTCTATTTTTCTAAAAGGCAGTGTGACTCAGTTTCCTGACCAAGAATCCTGCAGTGAATTTATGTTCTCCACCATCTTCAAGGTAAAAGTCAAAGTAATTTAACAGTAACATGCTTGGCTTTTTCCCAAACTCTCCTGTTCCATCGATCATCGTTCCCACAGTAGGTCTTTCAGTCCCCCTTCATGCATTATAATGTTAATTTCTGATGGATTTACACCACTGGGAGGCCTTTATTCCCTTCAGCAACTGCTCAATTCATTCTTCTACAACTCTGATCAAACATCACCTGTTATCTGAGAGGCTTTTCCTTTTGCCATCGGTAATTGGACCCTTTCCTCTGTAAAATCGTTTACATCTATATATAATTGACACACCTGTCACTACCATGTCACCTTAAGAGCAGATGCTATCTCAAGGGCTGGAGCGATGGCTCAGTAGTTAAAAGCACTTACTGTTCTTGCAGAGGATCTGATCTTGGTTTCCAGCACCCATATCAGATGGCTCACAACTGCCTATAACTCAAGTTCGGGGGATCTGACACCCTCTGACCTCTGGGGGCATCTGCACACACACCTGATGCACATAAACTCAGACAGGTGCACACACGTAAGTTAAAATAAATCAACCTTGTTTAAAGAACAGAAACTATCTCATCTGTTTTCCCAGCATCTAGTGTTAAGTGGCCTCATTTACTATTAATATTAGTTTGCTCATTCCTTTCGGGGTGTCACTTTCCTAAGAGACCTTTTGTTCTTCCCACTCTCTTCCTACGTAAAACAATGGTGCCAAATAAACGTATGTCCAAATGGATGGATAACTAGAAAGAACTCTAGGTACAGCGAGTTGCAAGAACTTAAGTACTAACAGATGGAAGATGATGGACCCTGAATTTGAACCTATGCCTGCCTAGCTCCAAAGCCAGAACAACACCCTGCCAAGTCAAAACAATCCTGTCTCCGGTGGGGCTGCAGTCCAACGTCTGCTGAGCGCGTGCACAGGGTTAAGTTCATCCCCAACAGGAGAGGCGGGGAGTAAGCTCCAGAAGCGTTCAGGACTTAACGTTTCCAGCGAGCCACGGTAGGAATAGGCTGTTTATGAATCCTAGTGAAAGGGGAGGGTGTCACAGATTCTACGGGCAGGGCCTTTTCTCCTCGGCAAACAGGCTAGAGATCTCAGAGAGCGGAATGTGAGAGGGAGGAAAACCGGGCGGCTAAGCGCTGCAGCTCTGCTCGCCGTTCTTCACTGCACATCAGCAGCAGCCTCAAAGGACGCCGCGACACCCCACACACCCTAGCGGCATCTCACATTTTTAGTGCGCCCTTAGGACCCAGGCTGGGCCGCAGCACATCCTGCAGCCCTCGGGCGGCGCATATGTTCACAGCCAAGGCCGCCTGGCTGCGCGTCACCTCGGCCCCAGGGTTGGCGACTTTGATCGCAGCCATGGGTTCAACGGTTCCGCCCTCAACCTGCGGAGTCGGAACCCTGGCGCCACGCCCACACTCCTGAGCTTCGGCCAATGCACCCCATAACAGGAAGTGACGCTATCACGCCTCGCCGGGACGGAAGCCTGAATCGCCGGCCCAAACATGGCGTCCTCCGCTTCTGCTGGGACTCCGGCGGGGAAGCGGGTGGTCAATCAGGAAGAACTGAGGCGGTTGATGAAGGAGAAGCAGCGCCTGAGCACCAACCGGAAGAGGATAGAGTCTCCGTTCGCCAAGTACAACCGTCTGGGGCAGTTGAGCTGCGCACTTTGTAACACGCCGGTCAAGAGCGAGCTCCTGTGGCAGACCCATGTTCTGGGGAAGCAGCACCGGGAGAGAGTAGCCGAGCTGAAAGGCGCCAAGGGAGCAACCCCGGGACCGTCGGCCAGCGCGGCGCCTCAGCCCATCAAGAGGAGAGCGACAGATGCGGAGAGCCATGACGCCAAGAGAACCAAGGCCTCCGTGGGGCCTCAGGTACAGCCCTCCACCTCGGCCTCGCCCGCCAACTTTGAGAAATCGGGAAAAGAGGCCGCTAGGGCAACCTCCAGTAAACCTTCTGGACTCGGTTTACTCCCTGATTATGAAGATGAGGAAGAGGAAGAGGAGGAAGAAGAGGGAGGTGGAGAAGGAAGAAGGGACAGCAGCAAGCATCTTCCAGATGCACAGGGCAAAACCAAAGAACATTCGCTTGCCTCTCCGACAACGAGTAATGTGCTGCCAAATGATCCCTTTAATACAAATCCTCCCAAGGCCCCCTTAGTTCCTCATTCAGGGTCAATTGAGAAAGCAGAAATACACGAAAAGGTGGTGGAAAGGAGAGAGAACACCGCCGAAGCATTACCGGAAGGGTTCTTCGACGACCCTGAGGTAGACGCAAAGGTCCGGAAGGTTGATGCCCCCAAAGATCAAATGGACAAAGAGTGGGACGAGTTTCAGAAGGCCATGAGGCAAGTCAACACTATTTCCGAAGCTATAGTTGCCGAAGAGGATGAGGAGGGACGGTTGGATCGGCAGATTGGAGAGATTGATGAGCAGATAGAGTGTTACCGTCGGGTGGAAAAGCTGCGGAATCGCCAGGATGAAATAAAAAACAAACTTAAAGAGGTTCTGACCATAAAGGAATTGCAGAAGAAGGAAGAAGAGAATGTGGACAGTGATGACGAGGGAGAATTACAGGATTTGCTGTCCCAGGATTGGCGGGTGAAAGGGGCTTTGCTGTAAGGTTTTGAAGATCCAAGCTTTCCATCATTCTCCGCTACCCCGTAAAAAGTGCTGTGTTCTAGTACTTGTGTTACTCTAGCCTTGGGTACCCTGAGTTGTTGAGATAAAATAAGCTAGTGAGCAGTAATACTTCGGGGAAGGTACAGCGGTGCTATTTATTATAAAATGTTTGAGGCAAACCTGTTTTTGACATTTTTGAAATTATAACTGCAAATTGCCAACTTTTTCCGTGTTTACAGACTTAATGTTGATTTTCAGTTGTAAATACTGTATATAGCTAAATATATATTTACATAAGTCACTGTTTTGAAACTTATAAATAGAAGTCAGACCAAAAAGACACAAGTTTCTATGACCTCGATGTGCATATGTATTTTCGAGCCTTAAACTCCAGGGTTTGGGGCTTTGGGGAGGTTGTTTTTAAAAGGCTACTCATAAACACGTATATTTTTTCATAAAGCACTGAATGAGTATTCTGTTTTCAAAAGCATACTTCATGAGATCATTGAGAAAAACATGCCACAAACGCCTAACCTCCTTAAGCCAACATTTCTTTGGACAAGACCAATGATTGTCAAAAATGTAGGTCAGTATCACCTGTGAAACGTTTGATTGTGCATGGAATGTCAAATCACCTATGCAACATTAGTGCCTGAACCCTAGCCTTAGATTCCACAAATCTAAAGGGCTCCAGATGACAATATTCTTGAATGTTCCCAGGTTATTCTAATATATGCCCACATTAGAGAGCAGCTGCCCTAAGTCCAGACCTATTTCTATATTATTTCAGGGTTGGTTTTCCTCTAACATGTTCTGTAAATTTGCTGTACTCCCTGCCCCGCAGTGGTGCTAGGCGTCCTATCCAGGGCCATGAGTACATACCACCACTGAGCTGGTTTTCGAGTGAAGGAAAGATTGCCTTTTATTTCTACCCCATTGAGGCTGAAATTTGATTTTTGTGGTAAATTAGGCTTGTGTTTACCGGTTCTTTCAATTGCAGGAAGATGTTTATGTTGCTAAGAAAGCAATGACAATTGCCTTATACTAACTGTTGATAGTTTAAAGTACTCCACTCCTCCAAAGTACTTGGAGGATGAGGTGTTCAAAAAGGAAAATAAATAGCAGTATTTTATATACAGCATGTTCAAATTTAATAATAATAATAGCTAAGACATACTATTTGTTCTAAGCATAAGCCAGACAAGATTCTAAATACTTTACTTATATTAACCCATTCTAGTTCAGACTTTATAGGGGGAAGCCCAAAAAAACAGTCTGAAAAGCCTTAAAAACTATGGGCTGGAGAGATGGCTCAGCAGTTAAGAGTTCTGGCTGCTCTTCCAGAGGACTCTGGTTCAATTCCCAGCAACCACATGGTAGCTCACAACTGTCTATAGCTCCAATTCCATGGGATCTGGCACCTTCACAGGTATACATGTAGGCAGAAACACCAATACACATAAAATAAAAATAAATCTTAAAAAAATGTTTTATAAAAAACAAACAAACAAAACTGATGTGGTGATTCATACCTGACACTCAGCTTTTGGGAAACCTAGGGAGATGGCTGAAGTTTGGGAAATGCCTGAACTACATAGTGATATCATGTCCAAAATGGAGAAAAAAAAAGCCTTAAGTTCTAAAGAATTGTTCCTCCAGGCAATGAGGAACTAAATGGAGGGGTTTTTGTCTTTAAACAAGATTCTGTGATGATTAGGTGTTACTCTAGTTGTCGTATATGGTATAGACAGAGCACAGGACAAGGAACTGGGAAATTACGTAGAAACTACTTTGAAAGTAAAGTGACTAAAACTGACTAGTTATGGACGAAGTGGGGAGAAAGTGACAAAATTCCTCAGGAAAAGCTAACATATTAAAGATGTGTATTTTATGTATATGAGCGCTTTGTTTTCATCCATACCAGAAGAGGGCATCAGATTCCCTTACAGATGGTTGTGAGCCACCCCGTGGTTGCTGGGAATTTGACCTCACAACCTCTGTAAGAACAGCCAGTGCTCTTAACCTCTGAGCCACTTCTTCAGCCCCCAAGATCTAACATTTTAATGACTAGAAGTAGAAAAAAAAATGTAGAACGGATAAGGATAGGCTGTCAAAGGATCTTCTTTTAGGTGTGGGTACCAAGAAGACACTGTCTGATGTGGTATGTGCCACACATTATTAATAATTGTGCTGCCTGTGACACAACGTCTGAATCCTCTGACTGCCTACTGATTAGGGGTAGCCATTTCAGTTTGATAATCACAAAGGGGGGACCTGCCTCAGGTGTATTCTCCCCACACTGAGAATTTTCAGTTTCAGCATGCAAGAAAGTACCTAGGAAGGTTCAAAGGTGAATGATGATCTGCAAGAGCACCTTCATTAGAAATACAAAGCTGGCTGGGCAGAGTTGGCACACACCTTTAATCGCAGCACTTCGGAGGCAGAGCCAGGCAGGTCTCTGTGATTTCGAGGCCAGCCTGGTCTACAGAGTAAGTTTCAGGACAAGCACCAAAAGTACACAGAGAAACCCTGTCTCAAAAAGGAAATATAAAGCTGGGCATGGTGGGTCATATCTGTAATCCTAACAGGAGGATTCCTGTCATTTTGAGGCCATAAGTTTGACAGAAGACGCTATCTCAAAAAACTGAAGTGCAAAAAAATAAAATATAAGCTATTAAATCTAGTAGCCATTTTAAAAAGAAACAGGTGAAGTTAGTTTCAATGTTTTTACTTACCCTGCTATTTCCAAAATATTATATTTCAGTAAGTGATATTTAAAGACTACTGAGTACTCTTGCATACATTTTTGAAATCTTGAGTGTATCTAACAACACACATGTACATAAGTGCCCATTAGCCACTGGTGACCTATGGCTTCCTTAAAGGACAGCACAGATCTAATAGTTAAATAGGTGAAGAACTGAAACATGCTGAGGAAGTAGGCATAAAGGGTTAATTCCTGGCATCAGTGGAGGTTAGGTGTGATAAGGTAGTTTATCACTGAATGTCAAGATGTAAAGAGTAAGATTGGTTTTTAGTCCTGTGTGTGTGTGTGTTTGTGTGTGTGTAGATGCACATGAACTACTACTAACTTTTAAGATGGCCAAGAACATCAAAATCGGATCTCAGTAGTCCTTATTAAGAACAGTAGGAAGGACCCCTATCATAACCAGTGCTCAGGGAGTCCTTGTTGAATTTGAGACCAATGGAACAGCTATGGGAGTGAGCAGCTCCACAAACTGCAAAGATCCTTACATCCCCTGAGTTGAGTCAGAGGTCTGATGTTCAACTGTGCTGTTCCTTGACAGAATTAGTTAGTTCCAAGGATTCCTTCTAGCCACAGCTCTTTATAGAGAGGTCTCTAACTCAGCCATCATCACAATACACAATTATTGTAAAGGGCAAAAGGTTTCTTCTCCATTTCATCAAAAACACCCCATTCCCCAACTTGGAAGAAAAAGAATACTAATCTAAATGGATTTCAAATAAACATCTGTCCAGTGCTTTACAGTTAGGAAATGGTTTCACCTGTATTTCTTTTTTCTTCTTTTTTTTTTTTTGGTTTTTTTTTTTTTTTTTTTTTTTTTT